GGTGAGGGAAAACAGACCTACAACCAGTGGGATGATAACCTTTGCCTTTGCAGTGTCCCGTGAACGGTCTTCCAGTTCCCATCACGAATGGAGAGACAGTGTCTTCCACTTGACCGAGCTTTCCTGTGGCCTAGTGCTGGTCCATACACTGGATCTTTGCTTGCTGGCTGTTAATGGTGTTCCTTTTGTGCAGTCTGTCACTTGTGCAGGCATTTTAACTGGCTACCAGAATATCTGTGCTACTGGAGGGCACAAAAAATAGGGGATTCAGAGAAGAGGGTATCACAAAAGACAAGATACTGTGAATGAAAGGTGTGATATGGAAGATGAACCAGTTTGATTTTCTGTAGGAGGTAAAGCAGATAGCCTTTGGGTACTGGATGTATTCAGTTTGATCCAGCACTTTAAGAATGGCAGGTGGTGGATAGGTAAAACTTAAAACTGGAGGACATAGCATTTCCAGGAGAGGGCATCCTAACCACTTGGGAGAAGATGATAAACTTGCAGACCTCTAAGAATCCCCCTACTCCAGAACTGTTAACAGCTTATCTGGCATCTTTGGCTCCCCTGACCAGAAGTTTCTCCCAAATAATACTCCTGAGGCTCAGGTTTTCATTGTAGGTTGTTCTTGGAGACAGTGTTGCAGGAGGGTATGACAGAGCACTGATCAGGTGTTCATGGGATGTCCGTTACAGTGATAACAGGCTATCAATTTGGTAGACTATATTCCTGTCTATGAAGTCATGCAGGAAGTTGTGGGCAATGGACAGTATATGTTAAGTGGCACCATTCAATATTAGAGGGCTATTCCACAAGTGAATTCATAGATTAGGCACCTCTGAAGCCAGGAGACCTGTGGCTATACAGAGGTTAGGAATGGACAGGAATGCTCAGCTGGCGTGGCTCAGTGATTGAGCATTGACCTATGAACCAGAAGGTCATGGGTTGATTCCCAGTCAGGGCACATGTGCAGGGCTCCACTCAGTGTGGGGTGTGCAGGAGGCAGCCAATCAATGATTCTGTCTTTTCTCTCTCTCCCTTTCCTTTCTGAAATCAATAAAAATACATTTATAAAAAAGAACAGGCAGGAACAAGGATAGATACAATCTCTGATTTCACTGAGATCTGTTATTCTGGAAGTAGGCCTCGTTTTTCTTAAGGACCTGTGTGACTATGGGGGCTGAGAAGAGCCTGAAAACCTTCCTGTTAAGTTGATGAAGTACTCAGGAAGGCCTAGGCTGAAGTATGGGCCCTGAGACAAAGGCCAGTTTCTTGTTTTTGCAGTTGTACCTGTGAGTGGAACATAGCTCTTGAGATTTGGGAGGTTCTAAAACCAAAGTAAAGCCAGTAGTTGGTTAGGTTGTGGGGCTCCAAATTGGATGACTTATGATCATAAAGCAACAGGCAGTACCAAGCATTCACCAGATCCCTTCTTGGGCATTATGGAGGGACGGTCTCCTGGATCTCTGACTGCCCAGCCCCTATTGAGCAGAGTTGCAGTGTTGGCCTGCATTAGTGCAACCTTGAGTGATTGGGGAGGCCATGCCTCTTGTCTAAGGTTTGGTCCATAAGCTGCTGTCTAATCTATAATTGCCTCCTGGAGGCAATGCCCCAGAGTTATAGAACTGTCCTTTTTCTTTTTTTATGTTTTTATTGACATTTTAGAGAGGAAGGGAGAAAAACATGGATGAGAGGAACATTGATCAGCTGCCTTTGCACACCAGTGACATGTGCCCTGACTGGGAATAGAGCCAGTGACCTGGTGCATAACCATTCTTGCTGGAATAACTATTCTTGTTGGTGAGGTCTAGGGTGCTGTGCCAGAGTAAATATTATCAGTGGCCCTGAAAGGGTGTGGCCATACTGACAACCACGTGTCTGTTTTTGCAGCAAGGTTTACTAGTTCAGAGAGCTTGGGGGGAGCTAGGGCACAGATGAGGGTAACCAAGAGCACAGGTTAGGGGAATCAGTTCTAGAAAAAAGCCTCTGGCAAAACTAAGTATCAAATATGTAGTTTCAGCACAACACTGTTAGTCCTGCCCCTTCCTCTAACCGAAAGTTGGGGTAGGATTGGTTAACTTTTCTCAATAGTAACACACCAAATTTAAGGTTAATATTGCTGGAAGGGCCAGAACTAAGTTAATTCATGTTAATTAGTGGGGATTTTAACTTTTTAGGAAGAGTGTCATTCTTTTCTGAGACACAGGAACAAAGGAGCCCAGCCTACGCTGCTTTCCTCTCCGGCACTCACCCGCCTGGAGATGAACAGGCTCTTCCTTCGAGTTCAGGTAGTCCTCGCTAACCCAGCAGAGATCCTCTGAATTAAAGAAGCCATCTCATAGGAATCACTGACCACATTTAAAATACCTGCTTAAAATCCTATGAAGGCATTGGTTTACTTATATTTTCATGATAGGGAAGGGGAATTGGGAAGAGCTATCTGCCAAGATCTTTCAGCGCTTTGACAACTAGAAATGATATACTCTGTACTGTGCTTCTTCCCAGGAATAGTTATTGGGAGGGTCAGCCCCTTTGAATCTTCACTGAAGTAAGGTGAATTTAACTTCCATTTGGTGTACAACAGTTTAACTCACCATGGATTTTAAAGTCCACACTTCCTCACTTAAGAACAAGATGATATACGATGTCAGGATGTTTCAGGAAACCAAGTGTGCCATCTGCAAGAAAATTCTAGCTCCAAGGGGAGGGGAGCCCTGCCTTCAAGTCATTAAGGATTTTGGGATGAAATGTCTGCAGGAGGCCTGGAAGACTCATTGGGTAAACTGGAGGGACAGCTTTGGGAATACCAGTGGAAATGGACGATGCCGCTTTTCTTAGCGTACGGTATGGTGAAATGGTGCTGACCTCCTTATGCTAGTCCACTCCTAAGGATACACTTGTGCATGTATCCCCCGTTAACTGACAATCACTGGTCTGTGAATTTAACATGAAGATAAGCCCTCAAAAGCTAATTTATGATTGTTCTGGACTGGATCATAGTTCTAGTCAATACATTCAATAAAAATATGACCAATTACACATTTTTTTCCTGATTAAAATATTTTATAAAGGGTAATATCTTTTACTTTGGAACACATTAAGATCGTTTCAGTACTTTGGCTTTCTTTGAACTAGTCTAGAAGTGTCTATTGATTAAAAAGCTATACGTTAAAAAATATAAAGTTCATAAGTGTTATACATTTTAGGTTAATCATTAAAATACAAGTAGAATGTATTTCAAGCCATATGTAATGTTAGAACTGAATCCAATAGAATACAGGAGAAAAAAAGAGCAAAGAAAAATGAAAAATTTGCTAAGAAAGCCTATAAGATGGTAGAAATAAATACGAATATATTTGTAATTATAATAAAATAAAACATCATAGGATGAACCTCTGTCAAAAGACAGCAGCAGTGTTCAAGCTTAAATGTAAAAAGTTAGCTACATGTAGTTAAAAAGTATATACTTAAACATAACAGAAGATATGACATGAAGAAACATGAGGCATTATGTTAACCAAAGGAAAGCTGGGATAATATTAGTAGTAGACAATCTATATCGAAGGGAAAATTGTTACTAAAGATAAAATGAGAATATAAAAGGAGTAACACCAACAAGTTATAAAAATTATGAACTTGTATGACCTAATAACATAGCCTCAAAATGTAAAAACCCAAAGCTAAAATTGAAAATGATAAATGTTCGTCTGCAAAAAAACCACAAAACAAAAAATCAACAAAAAACTGCCTTTCATGAATTCAGAGAAACCATGCGAGAAAGTAAAGATAACTCACACTAGATGTTAACACTGCAGCCTAATGCTCACTACCAAGTGGATCACTGCTGTGAATGATAAAGTTTTATAGCAGAAAAGGTTTTGTGATCAAGACTTTGACTTTTTGCATGCATGTCTCTGTGAAAATAACTTACTTTTTGAATAGAAATGTCAGCAAATATACTACCTCTTCAGTAAACCCTCCCTAAGGATTAAAAAGGGAGACACTCCTGGCCATAACTTTGCCATTTTTAAAAATTGTTGTTTCAGGAATAAGCGAAGGTGAAGGGAGAGACTGGAAGTTCTATGTTCCTTATTTGTGCTCTCTCACTCACTCTCCCCATTAATTTTGTGAAGTAGTCTTTCTGTTGAACTGAAAAACTGAGGCACAGAGAGATTGAGTAACAAACGTGGCTAAGGTTATGCAGCTTGTCTCCATGCCAGAGCTTCAGCACCGTCCGCAGCATGAAAACCACAACCCATCAGTGAGGACATACGGAAGGCATTGTATTGTGGGGAGGAAGTAGCATAATCAGGTCCAAGACCTAAAGATGAAAAGTCTACTTAAGAATCCTTAATTGAGCCATAACCGGTTTGGCTCAGTGGATAGAGCGTCAGCCTGCGGACTGAAAGGTCCCGGGTTCGATTCCGATCAAGGGCAT